GTCTAGAAAGCACAGTAATAGTTACTAAAGGTTGGAAGGAAGAAGGGTGATGGGCAGAGGTCAGAAATAGACACAAAGTTACACTTAGATGAGAGGAATGAATTGTTCCTGGCTGTTCCACAGTCAAGTGACCAGAGGCTAACACAACATCACACCCTTTTCACAAAATCTGGGAGATTCCAAATGTTTTCACAGCAAATAAATTAACTGTTTCTGATAATAGAGCCTCTAAATATCCTGATTTTATCATTCCTCTGTGTCTGCATTAATCAAAATGCCCCATTCTAACTCCCCGCATTGTATACCTTTACTATATGACCAACGTTTTAAAAAACAATTTAAATACACAATGCTAACATTCATGTGGACCACAAAACACACTGAACTTCCAAAGCAATCCTGAGAAATCCAAACTACCTCAGTTGTGTCACACTTCCCGATGTTAAATTTCATTGAAAAGCTAGGGACCCCATTCCACACAGAGCAGTGGAACAGATTAGAGGACCCAGATGTAAACCCTCACCCCTAACACCATCTGATCTTCAACAAAATCCACAAAAATAAGCTTTCGAGAAAGGACTCCCTCCTTTCAATAGATAGCGCTGGCATGACTAGCCAGCTGCAGAAGAAAAACAGTGGGCCCCGTGTCTTACGGTGTACAGACATAAACTCAAGATGAATGAAAGATGTAAATGCAAGACCTCACATATGAAAAGCCTGCAAAAAAAAAAACACCTAGAAACACCCTTCCTGACAGAGGATTTGGCACAGCATGGATGTGTCTCAGTCTCCAAAAGCAAGCGCAACTAAAACAATTATTGCCCAGTGGCACCTAATACACAGAAGAGCTGCTGCACAGAAGAAATGACCAACAGAGTGAACAGACAGCCTGCACAACGGGAGAAAATGTTCCCACGCATGCATCTGATGAAGGCTAATATCCAGGATCTACCTTAAAGATGTTAAATCAATCAGGAAAATAAAAACTCAATAAAGAAAGGGCAAGAGGCAGGAAATCATGCACCTCAAAAGAAGGCTTACAGCAACCAACAGACATGACAACATTTCTCTACCTCAGTCATCAACAGAAAAAGGCAAAGCAAAAGGCCCACGAGATAGTACTGCACACTGGCCAGAATGACGATTAGGACACGGTCCGCAAGAACGAATGCAGGCGAGGCAGAGAAGAGGGATGCTGCTCTGCTGCTGGTGGAAATGCAAACCAGTTCAGACACCATGGAAAGCAACGTGGGGATTTCTCAAATGACTTTCTCCACATCACGAATACTCACAAAAATGTCCATGAAAGCCACGCTAACATTCCGTCTCCTTCCACTCACTATAAATACTACCAATAACAAAACACTAATTTTTGAAGGTGCCAGCCAGTGTAGACTTACAGAAAGGTAACCTCTTCAACACTATTGGTGGAGATGTAAACTAGTATACACACTATGAGAAACAGCAGGAGGTTCCTGAAAAACTTCACAGTACAACTACCATGTCAGCTTGCAGCCCCACCACTGGTTCCACATGTAAAGCAGTTGAAATCCCTGGGCTGAAGAGAGCTATCTGCCTTCCATGGTTACTGAGGCACTTGTAATTGTGGCCAAGGTACAGAACCAACCTACCCGTCCACACACAGCTGCAGGGATGAAGAAACTGCTGTACAGATACACCACGGAATATGTTCCAGCCATAAAGCTCTGAGAAATCCTGCCACCTGCAGCCACATGAAGAAACCTGGAGAACATCAGGTCCAACAAATGAGCCTGGTAGACAAAGTCCCATTCCACACCATCTCAGGCATGCAGACTGAAAACATCTTCATCTCCTAGAAGCAGAAAGTTCAATTGGGGTTACTAGAAGTCACTGGGAAGATGGAGAGGATCTGGGAAGGAATCAGTAATGGGTAAAAAGTTACCCTCATGGGAGCAATCAATTCTGGTCTTCTATTCCACAGCAGGGTGACTAGCCTTAACACAAATGTATCATATGCCTTAAAGTAGCTAGAAGAAAATATTCTCAATGTTGTTACCACACAAAAAAATTGTTAACTATACGAGGTGAAGAGATGCTAAATAACCCAATTTGATGATTACTCAACATACACGTCTCAAAATCTTCTGTGTACCCTCTAATTATATACATTTATATATGCCAAATGGTGTTTTAAGATATATAAAGAAAACAATGCCAAAATTCTCATGGAAATGTGAAACACCCTGCATTTCCAAAGTTATCCTGAGAAACACAAACCATGTGGCATGTATCACATTCCCTGAGTTCTAATTAAATGAAAATCCCTAGTTAACCAACCCATATGTCACTGGTAAACACAGAGAAATACAGACCAGTGAGCAAAATGAGGGTGTTCAATAATAAACACAAATTTATATAGAGAGAACACATTTTTCAAAACACTACCAAACTGACGCAATGGGAAAGGTTTTCAAAACTAGGTATCCACATGCAAAAGAATAATACAGGACTCTTATGGTATGAAATACACAAAAATCAACTAAAAAGGATGAAAGATTATACACAAAACTTGCAACCATAAAGACAACCTCCGGTGTGTGTGTATTTATTGCAACTTGGATGTATGCGCATGATTTGCAAAAACTAACAAAAATACAAGGAAAAGAAAATCATGGACAATGGACTCCTTTGGTAGTGATTTTGTTTTTTCTTGATTAGTAACCAACAGCACGGCTAACCAAGAAATTATACATGTGGGGCCACGTCAAACTGAAGAGTTTGTGCCTAATAAACAATGAACAAAATGAAAAGGCATACCAAAAATTATAAGAAAATTTAGGCAAACATTCAGTTGGATAAGGAGTTATTTTTGAAAAGGTACAAGCCAGCCGGTAACACTACCAGCTGGCCAAAAAAAAGCAGAAAAATAACCAAACCAAATAACCTGAAGAGATATTTGTGCAGACAAGAACCTGACGCAACCTTTGCAAAAATGCAGTTACCATTACTACGCATGAGAAAAATGAAGATCTAAACCACACTCAGATCTTATCTCACTCCAACTAGAATGAACACTACAAACAGATTAAAATATTTAAAAAGACAACTTCTAGTATGAATTTCCACAAAGGGGAACTGTTTGTGGAAACGTAAATTAGTATTAATGCTGTAAAAAACAGTTGGGGGGTCCTGCAAAGAATAGAAAAGAAAACTACCATACCATCTAGCATTCCCACTACTAGGTATACATTCAACCTACCTGTCCATCCACAGATAAAGGGATCAAGAAACTCTTGTTATGTATACAATAGGGAATGTTCTTCGGCCACCAAAATGATGAAAGTGTCATGTGGAGCAACCCAGATGAACCTGGAAAACATTACGTTAAATGTAATAAGCTGGGCCAAGAAAGACAAACACTGAATCTTAAGATGTCTATGGTAAAGAGGTAGAAAGCACAATATTGGTTACCAGGGTCTGGGAGACAGAGGGGAAGTAGGGATTGGTTATGGAAGCAAAGTTATCTTAACCTTTAAGGAATAAATCTGAGTGTTCTCTTCCTCAGCCTGGTGACTGAAGTTAACAATATTGTATTTTTCAAAAGAACAAGAAAGGAGAATTTTGAGTGTTCTCTCCACACAAAAACAATACCTTATGAGGGAATAGAGATCCTAAGTATCCTGATTTGATCATTACCCAATCTATATATGTGAAAATGTACCCCTAATTATGCACCTTTATGCTGTGGAAAAAAGTTAACAGAAATAAATACATACTGCTAAAAATCACATAAGAGCAATTCATATCTAAAGAATTCTGAGAAATACAATCAAAGTGAGGACCCACAATCCTCGATATTAAATCACACCGCCAAGCTGCAGTTATGCAGCAGATATACGGTACTTGCATAAAAGCAACACCTAGAACTGTGGACAAAACCAGGGAAGACAAAACAAGATCAATGCAAATATGGACACAGCAAACTCACTTTGATAAAGACCACCGCAATGTGGAAGGCAGAGTCTGCTCAATGAATACCTTTGAGAAAAATGGTATCTGCATGCAGAAGAGAGAAACAGGACCTTGATTTTACATGATATATGAAAATCAACCCCCCCAAACAAAAAACAAACAAACAAACAATACCCCGAAGACCTGAACAAAAGATCATAAACCACAAAATGTTTTTAACTAAAACACAGGTTGAGCATATATTCTGGGTCACTTGAGTCTCTGCTCACCTTTGCAAAGAGAAAAAAAAACAAACACCCTGGAAGAAAAACCTCATTAACAATTAAATGCTTTGTCACTGATAAGTGTTTTCTTATATGGGTGACCAAAATAACATGCATAAAATGCAAAAATAAACATGGACTACATCAACCTGAAAAGTTTCTGCACAGCAAAGAAACTACTTTCCAAATAAAAAAAGCATCCTATAGATTAGGCAAAAATTTCAGGTAATCATGTAATTCATGAGTTGTCATCTAAGGTGTACACAAAAAACACTACAAAGTAGCAAATGAATCTAGTATTTCGCAAAGGACCTGAACAGACAATTCTGCGACATAAAATCGAACAACAGATAAAAGGTCCTCAAAATTAACTACCCAACAAAGTTAACTGTGTGTGGTTTAATTGAAAACCACACACAGATAATCTCACACTTACTGAATATTCCTAGAAAGTTGTTTAAAAATAGGAGAGGCCAGGCTCAGTGGCTGACACCAGTAATCCCAGAACTTTGGGAGTCTGAAGGAGCAGATCACCTGAGGTCGAGTTTGAAACCAGCCTGATCAATATGGAGAAACCCCGTCTTTACCACTGATACAAAAATGAGCCTGGCGTGGTGGCGGGCCCCTGTAGTCCCAGCTACTCAGGAGGCTGAGGCAGGAAAATTGCTTGAACCCGGGAGCGCAGGTTGCAATGAGGCCAGATGGCACCACTGCACTCCAGCCGGCTTGGGCAGAGCGAGACTGTCTCCAAAAAAAAAGAAAAAAAAAAAAAGGAACGCGGGTATGGTTTTGGAGAAACCATACACTGCAGATGAAAATGAACATCAGAATACACACCACGGAAAACAGCTAAATACCTGGAGACTCCTCAGAGAATTGACACTACAGATGTCCCCTGCTCTACTGTGCTCTAGCGAGGTCTTTTTCTAAAGGTCCTGAGACGTCAAAATAACCCTGGACCTCAGCTCAGAGGCCCAGGGGCTCGGAGGGTCCCAGGTCCCGCGCTTCGCCGCAGCCTCTGGGACAGGCGCTCCTATCTGCTGGACGCGGGTCGCACGCCGTTCCCGGCCAGGATGCGGATGCTGGAGCGGCCAGGACCCCACAACCGCCGCCATGCAGACCACTGGGGCCCCGAGGCTCACAAGGAGTCAGGGCCCAAAAGGGAGCGGCGGGGAAGGGGCAGGGAGGCCCGGAGGGTTCCCGGTGGGGTCCATGCCCCGCCACTTACCGCGCAGACCTGACTCCTGCTCCCCCATCACCTGGAAGCCACTACGGCTTCTCCGAAGCTCACTGCGACCGCGCGGCCGCTTCTGGCTGCCGCCTCTGCCGGCTGGGACTGCGCCGCCGCTCCTGGCCGCCGCCGCTTGTGCCGGCTGGGACCGCGCCGCTGTTTCTGGACGCCGCCGCTTGTGCCGGCTGGGACCGCGCCGCTGTTTCTGGACGCCGCAGCCTCTGCCGACGGGTCCCGCGCCGCCGTTTCTGGCCGCCGCCGCCTCTGCCGACTGGTCCCGCGCGGCCGTTTCTGGCCGCCGCCGCCTCTGCCGGCTGGTCCCGCGCCGCCGCTCCTGGCCGCCGCGGCCTCTGCCGACTGGTCCCGCGCCGCCGTTTCTGGCCGCCGCGGCCTCTGCCGACGGGTCCCGCGCCTCCATTTCTGGACGCCGCGGCCTCTGCCGACGGGTCCCGCGCCGCCGTTTCTGGCCGCCGCCGCCTCTGCCGACTGGTCCCGCGCGGCCGTTTCTGGCCGCCGCCGCCTCTGCCGGCTGGTCCCGCGCCGCCGCTCCTGGGCGCCGCCGCTCCTGGCCGCCGCGGCCTCTGCCGACTGGTCTCGCGCCGCGGTTTCTGGACGCCGCCGCCTCTGCCGGCTGGTCCCGCGCCGCCGCTTCTGGACGCCACCGTCTCTGCCGGCACGCCGCCGCTTTTGCTCGCTCCCACCGACGCCTCGGCTTTTGCTGGGGCCCCGCGTGAACCACCGTCTCGGCTTCCGTAGAGGCGCGCACGCCCGCAGCGTCCCTAGCGACTGGCTGACGCACGACCCCCTCTTAAAGGGGCCGCGGCTCAGACTGCACAGAAGCAGCCTCGCACTGGGGCACAGGCGGAGCCTCTGCCCAGCCCTGGCGGTGGACAAAAGGCTCCAGTGTCTCCTCCCGGCTCTAGCGCCCTGGAGGTGGCAGGAGTGGAGCCCTGTGACCCCAGCCCCGAGATCGGCTCCCTTTGCCTGGGGAGCTTCCAGGACCTGCCCCTGCCCCTCTCTGGACCTCAGCTTCACAATCCGGAAAGGAAGTGGCCTGGCCGGAGCTCTGGGGTCCCTCAAGCGCGGCGCCTCAGGATGCAGGGCGGGCTCCCTGGTCCCTCTGCAGAGGGGGGCCTTAGAACCACGGAAATCGGGGACTGGAGGGACAGTCCCGAGGGCAGCAGGGCCTCCCGGCGTTCCTGTCCCATCCGTCCTGTGGGAGCCCGGGGGCCACGCTAGGGCCCAGACACCGCGGCCTCACCGGGGCTGCCTGGGTCACCTGCTCCCCAGGAGGCAGGCAGGGGCCCTGGGGTCCAGCGCTGCCCACCTCACCTCCATCCTAGGTCAGTCCCAGAGGGGCCCTGCGGACTGGACCCAGCCAACCCCTTCCCAGGGAGAGGGACCCGCATCGCATCTGTCTCTGTGACACCCACGGGAGGGCCGCGCTGGCCTCTCCCGGGGATCTGGGGCGAGGCGGGGGAATCCCAGCCACCTGGCCCACATGCTGAAACCTCGTCTCTACTACAAATACAAAAATTAACCGGGCGTGGTGGCGCCCGCCTGTAATCCCAGCTACTGGAGGGGCTGAGGCAGGAGAACCGCTTGACCCCGAGGAGGAGGTTGCAGATCTGGGGTCACTGCAGTCCCCGCCTCCCAGGCTGAAGCAATTCTGCCTCAGCTTCCCGAGTAGCTGGGATTACAGGCACCCACCACCGTGCGCGACTAATATTTGTATTTTTAGTAAAGACAGGGTTTCACTATGTTGCTCAGGCTCGGCTCAAACTCCTGACATTGTGATCTGCCATCTTGGCCTCCCAATGTGCTGAAATTACAGGTGTGAGCCACCTTGCCCGGCCGGGTCAGGAGTTCAAGACCAGCCTGACCAACATGCTGAAACCATGTCTCTACTAAAAATACAAAAATTAGCCAGGCGTGATGGTACATGCCTGTAATCCCAGCTACTTGGGAGGCTGAAGCATGAGAATCACTTGAACCCAGGAGGGGGAGGTTCCAGTGAGCCGAAATCAAGCCACTGTACTCCAGCCTGGGTGACAGAGCGAGACTTCATCTCAAAACAAAATCGAAAACGAAATAATATTCAAAATGGTAAAGACAGAAAGTAGAATGGTGGTTGCCACGGGCTGGCAGAGGAGGGAATGGGGAGTTTGTATTTAACGGGTAGAGAGTTTTAGTCTTACAAGATGAAAAGAACCATCCGGGCATGGTGGCTCACACCTGTAATCCCAGCATTTTGGGAGGCCGAGGCGGGCAGATCACCTGAGGTCAGGAGTTTGAGACCAGCCAGGCCAACATGGAGATACCTTGCCTCTACGAAAAATACAAAAATTAGCAGGGTGTGGTTGTGGACGCCTGTAATTCCAGCTACATAGGAGGCAGAGGCAGGAGAATTGCTTCAACTTGGGAGGTAGAAGTTGCAGTGAGCTGTGATCCTGCCACTGCACTCCAGCCTGGGTGACAGAAGGAGACTCTGCCTCAAAAAAAGAAAAAGAAAAGAGCCATGGAGACTGATGGCAGTGATGGTTGTGTGACATTATGAACACATTTAATATGTTTAATGTGACTCAACTCTGTACCTAAAAACAGTCAGGATGGTAGATTTTATGTTAAGTATAAATTACCACAGTATTTTAAAAATTGAAAGAAAATCAGGAGCAAAGATTTTACCAAAGCAATGTGTAGATGACGAATGCATGAAAAAGGTATTCGACATCATTAGCCATTAGGGAAGTGAACATTAAAAGCACAATATTACTAAGGACCTATCAAAAATTACTGCAGACTTATCAATGGCTAAAATAAAACATAACGGTAGTGCCAAATGCTGGAGAAACTGGATCATTTATACATTGCCAATAAGAATATATTTTATATTATAACGTGTATGGAGTACAGCTGTTCTCAAATATACTTTAGTAGTTTCTTATAAAACTCAACATGTACTTAACATAAAATGCAGCTTGGGCATTTATTCCAGAGAAATGTAAACTTACGTTTGCATTTAAAAAACAAAAACAGGCTGGGTGCTTTGGCTCACGCCTCTAATCCCAGCACTTTGGGAGGCTGAGGCGGGTGGATCACAAGATCAGGAGTTCAAGACCAGCCTGACCAACATGGTGAAACCCCGCTCAACTAAAAATACAAAGATTAGCCGAGTATGGTGGTGCCCACCTGTAATCCCAGCTACTTGGGAGGCTGGGACTGGAGAATTGCTTCAACCCTAGTGCAGAGGTTGCAGTGAGCCGAGAATGTGCCACTGCACTCCGACCTGGGTGACAAAGCAAGACTTAATCTCAAGCAAACAAGCAAACAAACAGAAAAACCTGTGTTCATAGTAGCTTTGTTCACAATAGCCAAAAATTGCAACCAATCCCAACGATCAGTGGGCTAATTAGCAGCAACTCAGATGAACCTCAAAGGTGTGATGCTGAATGAAAAAAGTCAGTCACAAAAGATTCCATACCTGCATTTCATATATAATCATATACTGATGATTCTTTATATATCAAAAAAATCATATAAAAAGATCCAATATATATATTCTAGACATATATTCCATATAATCATATGCTAATTATTCCATATATATATATGTATACACACACACACACACACATGCACACACAAAACTTTAATTTTATTTTATTTTGCAATGGAGCTTCACTCTTGTTGCCCAGGCAGGAGTGCAGCGGTGTGATCCAGGCTCACCGCAACCTCTGCCTCCCTCGTTCAAGCCATTCTCCTGCCCTCAGCCTCTCAAGTAGCTGGGATTACAGGCACATGTCACCATGCCAAGCTAATTTTTGAATTTTTAGTAGAGACAGGTTTTCTTCATGTTTGTCATGCTGGTCTTGAAAGCTTGACCTCAGGTGACTCACCTGCCTTGGCCTCACAAAATGTTGGGATTACAGGCGTGAGCCACCACGCCCGACCAGTTTGTTTATTTTTTTGAGATGGAGTCTCACTCTGTGGCCCAGGCTGGAGTACAGTGGCAAGATCACAGCTCACTGCAACGCCCACCTCGTGAGCTCCAGGTATTCTCCTGCCTCAGCCTCCCTGGTAGCTGGAACTACAGGAGTGCACCAGCAGGCCTGGCTGAATTTTTTTGCTTTTTTTTAAGTAGAGTTGGAGTTTCACCATGTTGGCCATGTTGGTCTCGATCTCTTGACCTTAGGTGATCCGCCTGCCTCGGCCTACCAAAGTGCTGGTATTATAGGTGTGAACCATCATGCCCAGCCATATATAACTTTCATCAAATAAAATTACACAGGTGGGAAAATTTGGGGTGTGTGTGTGTGTGTGTGTTTTGAGACAGGGTCTCTGTCACCCAGGCTGGGGTGCAGTGTTGCAATCATGGCTCAAGTGACCCTGCCCCGTCAGCCCCTCTAGTAGCTGGAATCACAGGTGCACACCACCAGACCTCTCTTGTTTCTGTTTTAGATGGGGTTTCACCATGTTGTCCAGGCTGGTCTCGAACTCCTGACTTCAAGTGATCTGTCCACCTAGGCCTCCCACAGTGCTGGGATTACAAGTATGAGCTGCCACACCTGGCCTGAAATTGTTTTAAAAAAATGCGCTGGGCAAGTGGCTCACACCTGTAATTCCACCACCTTGTGAGGCTGAGGTGGGAGGATCACTTGAGGTCAGGAGTTCAAGACCAGCCCGGCCAACATGGTGAAATCCCATCTCTACTAAAAATACAAAAAAAAATTATTTGGGTGTGGCAGTTCCTGCCTACAGTGCCAGCTACTTGGGTGGCTGAGGCAGGAGAACTGCTTGAACCCAAGATGTGGAGGTTGCAGTGAGCCGAGTTTGAGCAACCATGCTCCAGCCTGGGTGACAGAGCAAGAGTCCCTTTCAAAAAATAAATGAATAATAAATGAATAAATAAAAAGTAGTGCGACTAATGATAACAACGATCATTTTTTCCATTCTATTAACATTCCAAGTACTGTGCTAAGTTCTTTACATGAAGTTTCACATTTTTATCTTCCCCATGACCCTATAAGCTGGGTATTACTACGTCCATTTATAGATGAGGAAGATTAGGGGCCTGGAGACATTAAGTAAACCACCCGAGGTCAGACAGTAAGGAAGGGGCAGACCTCAGAGTTGCCTGGCTGCAAAGCTGGCGTCCCTTCCCCGCCATGCCTTAACTGCCGTCTTAGAG